CCAGTGGCTTAGCCTCCCCAATTACCTGAGGTGGACACTCTTGGTGCACCCCTTTGTGGGCTTTGTGCACAGTCTTGTTGTAGTTAAGCCTTGATTGTTGTAGGTATCACTGGGAGGAATTGACCTCCAGGCCAATTGGCTGTGAGAATCAGCTGTGTCTGCAGTGGGAGAACTTCTGTGCTGAATACACCCTTCTGGGGCAAGACTTGCTTCAGTGGGGATTTGGTGCTCACTGAGTCTGTCCTCTGAGTGTGTCCCTTATGGATCTGAGGAGTTGTAATCTGGATGGTCCCACTCTGACCACTGGGTACATTGGCTCTTGGATCTCTAAGGAGGTGCTAATTTAGCCTCTGCCTGAGGCTACCCAGCAGGAGCTATGGAGAGATCTGCAGATTCCTCTTCTTTGTTTGGGGTTTGGAGGTGCCCAGATGAGGCCCAACTGTGAAGCAATGCAAGCTGCTGTGGGGCCTTGGGCCTTCTTTTGGATGTTCTGGGTCTCTCTGACCCAGCTGCAGTTTGTTAGGTAATTTCAGATTGCAAAGGGCCAGGCCATTCATATGCAAAAGCCTCTACGAACAGCTAGGGTGGGGAAAGGGGCCCCAGGAATCAACAGGATGGAGCAAACAGCTATAGCTGATCCTCAGCTCTGCCCTAAGAGGCCCCGGGTCTCAGTGTCCCGGTAATCACTGCAAGCACCTCTGAGAGAAAGCCGCCCTCGAGTTCCAACCGATGCCAGACAGTCCAGTTTCTCCCCGTATGAGTCTGGGTCCCCAGAGACTCGCCCGGAACTGGAGTTCAGAGCAGTTGGGAGCTTGTGTCTCCCTCCCGATTGAAAAAAAACAACCGCGTCCTCAGTTGCCAGCCCTTTCCACGTGTGCCTCCGTACCTCTGCACTTTACTTCCGCACCTCCTCTGAGTCTCAGTGTGCTTTCCTCTTTCCTTCTAGTTGTAGAATTTCCACTCAGCCAGCCTTCCTGTGGTTCTGGACGATGTCCGTTTTGTCTTTTAGTTGTATTTTTGAAGTGGTTGTGTGAGGCAGCAATTTCCAGTGTTTACCTATACCTCCATCTTGGTTTCTCCTATCCCAGATTCTTTTGAAGCAAATGTCAGGTATCATATAATATCATTTATTAATATTTACATGAAGATAAACATCCTTAAAAAAATAACCCTAAAACAATGACATTTAAAGAAAATTAAGAATTCTTTAATAACAATTATCTAGTCAGTGTTCAAATTTCCCTTTCTTCCAAACTATTATTAGTTCTTCTGATTTGAATTAAGGGCCAAATGAAGTCCACACCCTGCCCTGCTTGCTGTTTCTCCTAAGACAAGATCTTTTAACCTACAGGCCCTCTCCCCTGTAGCCGATTTCTTGAAAAGTTTTCCACTTTTGGACTGTGCTGACTGTACTTCTAGGTTTGATCAGACTCAGGTTGTTTGGGGGTTTTGGGAGGCAAGAAAAGCATGGGTAGTGTTAAACTTCTATAATGTCTGAGTGTTGTCCTTTTTGGGTTGTGCACAGGCTTTCAGGATCACTGCCTTCCGACGTCATTCGGAGTTGAAAAACTGAGAGTTTAAAATTCTTTCTTTTTATTGGCTGGGATTGTTTATTTAAAAACCTGTTAACTCTCTAGTTGCCCTGCAGTATAGTCTGTAAAACAAAAACAGGACAAATGCTCAATTCTTTCCTTCATGGTTCCCAAGCATCCACTTGGTTACCCATCGGTACCTAATGAAGATGGCATTTTTAGGGTCATATGAACTCACAGACTTTATATATACCAGTCAACTTTCATGACCATACCCACTGAGGTCCAAGATGTCTCATCTTTGACCAGAGGCAGCCTCTTCAAGTTGGCTTCTGTGTTTCTTTGCCGACGCCAGTCATCTTTGCTGGCTTCTCTGCTTTCTGTTCTGACAAGATGCTTTATCTCTCTCTCTCTCTCTCTCTCTCTCTCTCTCTCTCTCTCTCACTCACACACACACACACACACACACACACACACACTCACTCACTCACATTTCTACCTCTGTGTATGTAACTGTGTGTGTATATAAAGTAAAAACAAAGGAAATATGCCACAATGTTCATATTATGGGATAAGGTATGATGAGGGGTTTTAATGTTTTTAAAAAATCTATTTCTACATATCCCAAGTGTCTATGATCAACATTATTGATAATAATAAAAAATAATCTAATGTAAAATTCCAGTTTGCTCACCAATTTTCAAGCTCCCAAAACTACTCCTTTAGTGGATACATATAATTATTTAAAGTATATTATGTAAACCCCTAGCCTTAGGACCTCAAAATCCTAATACAGATTATTCCTGTTCCCCATATCAGACACCCACAGACTCCCTTCCTCCCCCAAGTAAAATAACTTACTTCTCTCACAGAGATTGTTTCTTCTACTATGATTTCCATCTCTGACCCAGGCTGGATATCACTTCCCATAGCGAAAAACAGGAACAGCTAAGATCGAGACATAGTGTGAATGCAACTCAGTCTAAATTTTAAAATTCTACAAATATATTATTTACTCCCAAAAAAGAAAAGTTTCATGTAGTCCATGAAACTTTAATAAAAATATCAAATTATGTAAAACAAAACTACGTTGGGTAATATAATGTTACAATTTAAATAATAATCTCAACTACCTAGAAATGTAAGATGCCTAATCACCAATGTTTTTACTCCTAGAATATCTCATAGATATTCTTTATTCTTCCATGATCTCCATCTTTCTTGATCATTCCTCAAAGGGACTTGCAATTACTGTACACTATAAGCGTTACTCTGTTTTTCTCTGAATCATTTGGTTTCTGTCCATATACTATGATTCCCAAGACTCTACAGGAAAAATGTGAGTCTGATCTCTTGTCAACTCAGCTGCTTAGAGCCCTATTTTCCTTCCCCTTTAAAAAAATATGTCTTTATTGATTTCAGAAAGGAAAGAAAGTGAGAGAGAGAGAGAGAGAGAAATGTCAATGATGAGAGAATCATCAATCGGCTGTCTCCTGCATGCCCCCTATGGTGGATCGGGCCCGAAACCCAGGCATGTGCCCTGACAGGGAATCGAACCATGACCTCCTGATTTATAGGCGGATGCTCAACCACTGAGCAACACTGGCCGGGCCTACTTTCCTTTGTAACTCAACTTCACATGTCACGTTTTCCTTCTCCAGCTTATTCAAGGAAGAAGAAATGAAAGAGAGGTGGCTGGAAAACGAATGAAGTGGATCCAGACAGAGGGTTCCTGATATGAACCAGCTAACCTCGACACAGTCTTAACAATAAGGACATAAATATGACTTTGGGACTGTAATGAAAGTTTACTAAATAGGTAGGGCTTCTGGCAAAGTCAAACAGATGGTATTTATATAGGAAATGAATACTGATAAAGACCAAGCTGTTGTGAGATTATATTATTGCAGAGATATTACAACCAGAATTAATATTCTGTATTTCATTAAATCTAAAATTTAATTAGCTATTACTCATTGCTTTATGTACCACGAAAAAAGAAAACACAGTGCTGGCTATAACTGTAGGATGCCATGGACAAAAGATGCAGCCTAATCTCACAGATGTTAAAAGTTGGGGGGAAAGGGCACATTTCAGAATTTCTGAAATATGATTGAAACTGGTAGCCGTAACATTCCCCTTAACCAGTTTTCGCAGAAAAAGAACCTTATGACTATGCTTTGACATAGTATTTTTCATTTACAATTTTTTATTCTCACCCGAGGACATACTTAGAGGAAGGAAGAGAGAAACATGGATGTGTGAGAGATATATTGATCAGTTGCCTTCCGCATGTGCCCTGACCTGGAAATCGAACCCAGCTATATGCCCTCACAGGGAATCTAACTGGCAACCTTTTGGTGCACTAGACGACACTCAACCAACTGAGCAACACTGGCCGGGCTAGTATTTTTTATTTAAACACAGCATTCCTAAAATAAAAGGTTATCATTTAAGGAAAATAAAATGTTTAAGAATTACAGTTTTACTGGAATAGTTAAGGTATCCTATCTAATAACAGATAAACATGGTAATTAACCGTAACTTCGCTACCCTTCCCATTGGCTAATCAGCAGGATATGCAAATTAACTGCCAACCAAGATGGCGGCCGGCAGCCAGGCAGCTGAAGCGAACATGAGGCTTGCTTGCTCCAGTGACGGAGGAAGCCAACGTTCCCCGCCTGCCTCGCCCTGCTCTAAGCTACACTCTAAGCAACAAAGTTGCAATTATAGAAGCTAAACAATCCCCAGAAACCTGCTTTCAGCCAGCATCGGCCTCAGAGCTTAGAGCAGCAGTGATGGCAACAATGTTTCAATTATAAAAGCTAAACAAACCCTGCTTTCAGCCAGCTGCCGCCTCAGAGCTGGAGCCGGCTCTCGGCTCCTGTGACAGCTATAGAAGGTAAATAAATCCCAGAAAAAAAAACAAAAAACAGTAAAAAAGGAGAGGCTGGGAGCTTCAGTTGCCCGCCAGCCTGAAAACGGTCCTCAGCCCCTCACCCAGACTGGCCAGGCACCCCAGTGGGGAACCCCACCCTGAAGGAGGTGT